GAAGCGTCCACTGTCACCCCAGTCTAAGAGCTCCAGCAAGGTCACCAGCGTGCCTGGCAAAGCCACTGACACTGCTGCCGCAGGCACCAAGTCAGGGAAAGCCAGCACGTTGTCACGACGGGAGGAGCTCCTTAAACAGCTCAAGGCTGTTGAAGATGCCATCGCTCGCAAGCGGGCCAAGATCCCTGGGAAAGTGTAGTGGGCCCAGCTCACTCCCTGGAGTAGACTCTTAAATGTTTTTATATATATAAAAAAAAAAAAATAGGGTAAGCGCAGCCATTTTGGATTTTCCAGTTAATGTCTTATTTTGGCTGTGATTCTTTTTAAAAATTAAAGAAAATAAAGTTTCTCAGCTGGAAAAGAAGCCACACACAAGATGAAGATGACGCTGAATCCCAGCCTCCCACCAGACTGAACCAGCTCCTTCCAGAATAGTCTCCACGGACAGACAGACAGATGGACAGGTCAGCACTGAGACAGGGAGCACCAGCTCTGTTTAACTTAAGAGCTTCAGGCACCCGGGCTGGGCTCAAACTCTTCTGCCTCCGTCCTCATTTCTCCCAGGTGGTTTCCTGGGCTACGTGTTTCCAGCAGACTCTATTCTGGGAACAGGAAAGCCGAATATTTACTGGACTACAGGCAGCACCGTCCCTCCCCTCCCCTGGATCAGAAATTATATATATATATATATATATATATATATATATATATATATATATATCATTCATTCTTGACTAAAGTCTGATTGGAAACATTTCCTGTCTTTTATTTTAAGCATCAAATTGTTTTAGTTGATTAAAAAGGAAAAAGCAGAAAAGACAAAAAAATAAAATACGGCCAAGGGTATTGTTGGGGTGTCTGTCCAATGTGGAGGGTCTTTTTTGAGCGATCTCCTAAAATAAAATATTTTGATAAGCAGTTTCTGGTGATGTCTGCATGGGCCTGGGCTGCCTCCCCCACTAGGCACCCCTCTTTAGCTCAGTGGATCAAGCACTCCAGCAGAGACCCTAGCCCTGGAGCACATGATGTCTGTCACCCACCAGGAGCCAGCAGGCACAAACTACTTGAATCTTCAGTAGTGTTAAGTGGAGTGTTAAGCCTCAGTTGTCCTGTCCGGTGGCTGAATGAAGAGCAGCCCAGCTCTTGTGGCTGACTTCTTGGAGTGAGTTGGTAACTACCTCCCAGGCTGGCCAGCTATAAAGTACTTGTTGCTCTTGGTTTGAACATACCATCTGGCCCTGACCCACATGTGTTAGGTCCAGGATATGCAAAGCCTAGACAAGATTGGGACATTCCAGTGTCCTCCATAGCATTTACTACTCTCATAAGAGCATAAGGCCTACCCAGTACAGACAGCTTCAGATAGGCAAAATGCTCCAAAGCCCCCAACTCCAAAGGAGGGTAAAGGACAACCTCAGGTGTCTTTCTCAGTAATGCCTTCCACCTCTTTTGAGACAGGGTCTCATTGGCCTGGAGCTCACTGATTAGACTGTACTGGCTGTCCTCTTAAGTCCTTGGGATCTGCCTGTCTCTACCTCCCCAGCACAAGCAGCATTTTACATGGATTCTGAGTACTGAACTCTATGATTCTTCATCTTGGCAAGGCAAGCTCTCCTCCAGCTACACTATCTCAGTAACCCAGGATGGTCCGGTATAAACATTCCAGTACTGGGAATACCACCGGGTCAGAGGAACAGCCAGACCAGGAGGTACAGCCTCACCTAGCAACTCTAAATGGACCAACAGCAACACTTGCCTATGTCCCCTTGGAAACCTGAGATCTCCAGGCCTCCCGATCTTGCCTGACACAGATAGCCAGGGCAGGCAGGATCTGTGTAGGGGCCACTGAAGCATGGTGTGGGCAGGCAGACCTGTCCAGCCAGGGCATGCTCAGCATCCTTCCTGGGTGCTTTTCCAGTCTTGCCTAACCTGGGACTTACGAATGAACCTCAGGAGCAAGGCTACCTACCTTCTGCCTCCAACACCTACAGAATGTGTTCTGGCCTCCACATCCCACATCTTCATAAAGCCCTAGGCAGTGTCTCCCAGGAGAGCTGCGTTCAGATCCCTCAGACTGCCCATCCAGCCACCAGTGGTTAAAATGAAATTCAAAACAGGCTTTGCGTGAGAAGACAGTTGGGCACTGAGACCAAGCTTGTCCTGCTGCCCTCTCAGTATACCCATGGAACATGGGAGCTCAGAGGCCAGTATGCTGGTGCCATCCTGGCCAAGGAGTACTCTGCATTTCAAGGGCTGGGCAGAATGGACTGGATCTGTGCATTGGCTTGTCTGGGCACAGGACCAGCAAGCAGTCAAGGCAGGAGCCCCAATAAACTCTGCTGGGTTCCATCTGGAAAATGGTCATAGCACACAGGTCCACAGATCCCAGCCTTAGGACCTGGCAGAGGAGGTAGAACAGTCTCATTGGAAGTAACTGCTGGGCCAGCTCAGCCCCCTTGAAGTCCCAGGCTAGTAAGTACCTGGCAGGCACATGGGACTCTTGCCTCCTGCGACCCCAGACCCTACCCAATCACAACAATGCCCTCCCTCCCACTGTCCTCAGAATTCATCTGCACCAGTAGAACAGAGGTGGAAACAGGTACATCGAGAGTAAACCAGACACCGAGCAGGCTGATTCCATCATGGCTAAAACCCATTTGCTGTACAGCCTGGGGTAAATCGCTACCACCCTGGGCCTCAATTTTCCTGCTTGGGAAGTGGGGTAAGCTGAAGCTCCTTGAAGAATGTAAACAGGGCTGTAGTTGAACATGTCTCCAAAGCCACTGTTCATGTCTCTGTCTTCTCCTGGGCCTGGACTACAATGTGGAACAGGTAGCAGGCGAGGGCATCCCTCCTGGGTACTGCCTTGACAGAAACCATTCCTTAAGGAGTCACGTGGCCCCTCTGGGCTCTGCTCTGGGAGAGGTAGCACTGGAGGGGCAGATGGCTGGTCTAGAGTGGGGCACTCTGAAGTGGGTCCTTCCTGATGTTCCTCGTTTGTTCCCTCCCTCCCTCCCTTCACACACACACACACCTTGCTTGTCCTTCCCTGGCTTTTCTGCTGCTGCTGCTCTTCCCAGGATCCTGGGTGCTGTTAAGCAGATCATATACAGAAGACTCCAACCCAAGCAGAGGCCGGAATCTACTGACTAGCCCTCTCTTCCAGGATGTAGCTGGCCCAGCTCTCCCTTTACCTTAAATCTACCTCCTTCCCACCTGTGTCTTGTGACTCACAGACTCACAATGCAGAAAGGCCATGGGAATCATGTCAGGGTGCCCATTGGTTAGGCCGAAAATTCGTAGCCCGGGCATCCCCACCCATGTCCACCAGGATCTTCTTCAGGGCCGGGAGCCCGGCAGCTACAGCTGATAGGTGGGTGTTTCTGTGCTTGTAGCTGGGCATATGTATGTACCAGGGAGAAACGAGGTCAGCAGGTCAGGTGAGGGAGGGGCTACGGCTGGGCTTTGCACAAAACATCTCAATCCCAGCTTCAGGCTCCTTAAGGACATTTCAGAAAGGGCTTCCTTGGGGTGCTTAACCAGTCTCAGCCCCCTTCTGCTATTGTCATATGTGAGGCGAGGGGCTGGGAATGTCCACACCAGATTCCGAGAGGCCCTGGGAACAGGTCAGGAGCCTGGTGCTCCTCGAATCTGGTAACAGCAACAGCCTCTAGTGGCTCAACTGACCTCCAGCTGGCAGCATGACATTGCCCTCATGGAGGCCCTTTAAGTCACTGAGCAGAGTTGTCCCCCCATCCCTTTGGGATGTCACTCCCAGGGCATCCTGATGTGCTGCCCCAGCTCTGGGACTGAGCCACAGCAGATGCCACACCTGAGCTCCTGTCCTCAGTTTGATGCTGCTTCCAAGTGTGGAGGCTGAAGAAGGATCTGTGGCTACACTCCCTGGCCCTGCCCACAGATGGACATTCTAGACTCCCGAAAAAACCAGGACGGACAGGCCCTTCTGCTTTGGAGGTGGCCAGAACCCCAAGGGGCCCCAGGGTAGGGGCCTTCCCAGGATGACATCCAAACCTTGGGCATTGAAAACATCCCAAGATCTGGCTCCCACGTGTCCTCTTTTCAGATAAAAGTACCCACAGTGCCCAGCCTACCCTAGCCAGCTGTGCTGGGGAAGGGGGCACTTCAGTGGTGCCGGCTCAGACAAGCTTCCTTCGATAACTACACCCCTCTCTGTTAGGCTTGCCTTCCCTGTCCCACGATTTTTACCATGGATAAAGCTGTAGGAGAGGGGCTGGAAAGAAGACGCAGCAGTTAAAAGCACTGGCTAATCTTGAAGGAAACCTAGGTTCTGCTCCCAGCATCCACATGGCGGCTTACAACCAGCCTTATATCGATCCATCCAGGCGATCCAAGGCCCTCTTCTGGCCTCCATGGGCACCAGGCACACATGCAATCAAAACATTCATCCACATAAAAGTTTTTAGCAATTAAAAACCTGTAGGACCCTCGCTAAAATGTAAGGACATTCCCTAGCTACCATCTCTCCTGCCTCTACAGGGGATGGGTAAATGGTGACCACCATAGGCAAGAGGCACAGCCTCAGTCCATCCACAGGACCAGAGTCTGGACCTCATGGACCCATGGCAGGAAGTGACACTAAGACCCCAGTGCCAACAGCAGAGTCAGTGACCTCAAATAGCAAAAGTGACACAAATTAAACCAGCAAGCTTCTGAGCAGCTCGATTGAAACTCCTAGTCTGTGGTTCCAGAGTGTTCCACCCACCAGTCAGAGTCCCTGGCTTTTCATGGGCATTCCACTGGGTAGGGTCCCCTTGGGTAGAGAGGTTGCCTGGAAGGGGCTCCTGAGTATCTGTGACAGGGCGGGTGTGGCAGAACAGGGCCCAGTGGCTGTGCTCCAGACCTACCGGGATAAATCCGTGATGTAAAGGGACAGACCCAGAGCAGGAAGCAGTGCTGGATTTTCCCCAGGTGTGGCCCCAGGTATAAAGACGCACACAGACAGCACACAGGTGCAGCACTGGGACCATCGCCAGGTGTGAGGCCTCTCCATGTCTGCTGCCATGGCCACTGCCATAGCCATTGTGATGGTGAGCCTGGCCCACTTCCCAGCCTTATAATGACAGCCTGTGCCAGCAGGGGGGATGTTGGGGGCTTGTCTCTGAGCATAGGTGCACTGGGATGCGTTTAGGCTAAGCCTGTTTCCCATCTACGGAAGGAAGTCTAACCCCATCTTGTCAGTGAGAACTGGCAAGCTTTGGAGGAAATGGGGTGTTCTCTGGGCTACCCCTAACCATACACCTGTCTGTTCCCCAGTGTCTCCTGCTTTTAGCCTGGTTGCCTACTGGGATGACCCACCAAGATCTCCAGTTCCGGGGTAAAACCCGAAGCCATGGGACCCAGAGGTGCTACTCTGCTGAGGAACTGTCTCATGGCCAGGCACCCCCACACCTGCTAACTCGAAGTGCCAGGTGGGAGCAGGCCCTCCCTGTGGCCCTGGTGTCCACTTTGGAGGCCACAGGCCACAGGAGACAGCATGAAAGACCTCAAGCAGGAACACAGTGCCCCGTGCTGCGGCCAGAGGAGGTGTTGGAAGCTGATACCCACCAGCGCTCCATCTCACCATGGAAATATCGGTGAGGGTCATGGGGTCCCCGCTGGTGGGGTGGTTGGGTGGCTTTATTCCCACTCTGGAACCCTAGGTCTTCATCTACCTACTCTCTGAAAGCACATTCCTTCCCTGAGAAGCTGTAGCTTGGGCCAAGTGGCACCAGGGCCCCCATAAAGTCCCTGCTTCTGTGTTCTCAGGGGGCATGGGTTAAATGTAGGTAACATCATTTATTGAGCACCAGCTGAATGCCAGTCTTCTTGGTGCCTGCACCTTTCTGTCTGTGGCGTTCGAATCCTGAACTCTCAAATTGTCCATTCCAGAGCGAGTGGTGCAGCCACGGGAGGGTGGAGCTCCAAGGCAGGGGAGGAGCGATACTGTGTCCACCATGCTGCTCGTGAAAGCTCAGATGAACTCTCGATAGGACCAGAGTGAGTATTCACTGCTCCTGTCCCCACAGCGTCGATACAGACAAGAACCGCTACCCACAGAAGTTGGCAGTGGCAGAGTGCTTGTGTCGTGGCTGCATCAACGCCAAGACAGGCCGCGAGACAGCAGCCCTGAACTCCGTGCAGCTGCTGCAGAGCCTGCTGGTCCTGCGGCGACAGCCCTGCTCCCAAGACGGCACAGCAGACCCTACACCAGGATCCTTCACCTTCCACACTGAGTTCATCCGAGTGCCTGTTGGCTGCACCTGCGTCCTTCCCAGGTCTGCACAGTGACGGCTTCTGTCGTGGCCCCCCTGTGATGCGGCAGGCCCTCTCGAGAGACCACACATTCCAGGCATCCCCACAGCGGATGCCTCTTATTTATGTGTATTTATTGCTTATTTATTGACTCAAGAGTGCAGCAGAGCTCTACCCAGCCCTTGCCCAGTAATCTCTGCCTAGTGCCCAGATGCAGGCTGCTAGTCTCAGGATTGGGGAGGCCAGGCATCCTCATGACTAGAAGGGTCACTCCCAGTGGCTCTCGAGCCTTAGCTTACCCTGTTACCAGAGGGGAGACTGGGCATGGTATAAACCACACCTGGAATCCCAGCCCTCCGCAGAGGCTCCTCAGGTTCTCAGACAGGAAAGCCAGGGCTAATAGTGACTGTCTCAAGAGAGGGGGGGGAGCTCTCCCTGAACCTCTAGCAACAGTGACAGGTGGGGAGATGAAGGGCTGGCTCTGTGTCACCCCAGAGCCCTGGTTTTGCCCAATGCAGCCCTTCCAGCTGTTTTTAAACAATTATTTATTCTAACCGCTATTAAATGGACACATTTCAACACTTCCTCTATTTATTCCTGCAAGTCTACTTTTTTTCCTCTTGGCCCTGTCCACCCAGTGGGTGCTCAGAGGCTACTAAAGCCCCAAAATCCTTTCCTAAGGTGTTCATGTTGAGAAGGTACTGCTGGGGTGCAGAGGGACTTCAACAGGACACACACAGCCATTAGGCCTGGGTCTCCACCTTCCTACAGGGGGCGCTCCTGCCTTAGGCAGGGAATAGGCTTCTCACGCTCACATTGTGTTCTCCACTCCTCATTATTACTTTGGCCATTTGGGGACACTATCTCTGTCTGAAGTTAACCCCCAGGAACACTCCTCTGCATCAAGACAGGCAGGCAATCATTGCCACAACAGGCTTTTCCAGCATGACCCAGCCAGACCCAGGGCTGTGAGGCCAAACTGGAGACCTAGACTCCAGCCTAGGTCCAGGAGCCACCAGGATGGCATCCTGTACTCTGGACCCATTGGGTGCCTTTGGCAAAGGGGAGCCAGTGGCTTCCACTATGGGAAGACCTGGAATTGTAAGCATGAGTCCACCCAGGGTCCATTGGGCAGTTGCCAGGCCTTCCCTGACTGACCTTCAGGTTACCACACAGGATGGGGTGCATGTCAGATCTACTGCCGATCACAGCCCCTCCCCCCAGCCTCACAGGAAGAGCCACTCTCCATACCAGCTATTCAATGTTTATTACAATGGGCATCAGCACCCCCTGGTGGCAGCTCCAGGAAAACTCAAGCAGGAGCTGCAGACAGCAACTGAAGGTCACACAACCTCATCTGTCACTGGAATTGGGTTGACCTGGGGGCCTCCAGCCGAGGCTGCCTCCTCCTCATCCACACTTGGCTTCTTTCGGACCTCCACTGGTGGCCGGGCCGGGGGGTTGGTGGGTGGCTGCTTGATGGTGCCTCCAACCTGTGGCCGCTCCTTGGGTTTGGGCTCAATGGGGGTCCACTGCTCACCCCGGATGGCTGCCTGAGGGGCAGAGAGGGACTATGTTATGCTTCAAGCTGCTTACTGTCACAGGGGACTCCAAGTGGGCATGGGTCTTAATCCCTAAGCAGAATGGGAATGGCTTACATTAATTGACTGGCCCAAGGCCACACAGTCAGGATCTGGTGCTGCCTGACATCAAACCCAAGCTATGTGGCCATGCCAGGAGGGCCCTGCAATGGAGGGAGCATAGAGCCCTGGGTTTCTATAACACTCCCAGAAACACTTCCAGGTACATATTCTATGATCCACACAACTCCCAGGTCCCCTCCAAGAGATACCCATCTTCAACAAGGCCTGCCCAGGGGTGTCAAGCATTCTAAAGAAAACATGTGGGCTGGGTGCTAAAGTATGAGAGCAGAGTACTTGCTGGAAACAGTGCTGCTAGCCCTACCCCCACATGCACTCCCACAGCCGCTGACTCAGTGTATCTGGAAACTGCATGTAAATTTAGTAATCCCGCAGGGTGGCGGCGGCGGCAGCCATGGTGGCAGCCATGCACGCCTTTAATCCTAGTATTCTGGAGGCAGAGGCAGGAGGATATCCCTGAGTTGGAGGCCAGCCTGGTTTACAGAGGAAGTTCCAGGTCAGCCAAGGCTATGCAAAGAAACCCTGTCTCGAAAAACAAAAACAAAAGCTATAAATAAAGTTAGTAGCCCACAATGATTGAGAGGAACTCTGACACCTGTGGCTACACCTTCAAACACTTGTGGCTACACCTTCAAACACCTGGGGCTACACCTTCAAACACCTGTGGCTACACCTTCAAACACCTGAGGCTACACCTTCAAACACCTGAGGCTACACCTTCTAACTAATAAGTTAGAACATTGTATACAGAAGATAAGAATGGAGCTGGCAGAAGAGAATCAGAAAGACATCCATAGGACCTCAGAAAATGGGTGGGGGAAGACTTTTAATGAACACAAACTAAGCTAGGTGAAGTAGCAAGTGCCTGCCATCCAGCATTAAGATTAGGAGGTGGAAGCAATAGCCGGGTGGTGGTGGCTCACTCCTTTAATTCCAGCACTCGGGAGGCAGAGGCAGAGGCAAAGGCAGAGGCAGGTGGATCTCTGAGTTTGAGTCCAGTGGTCTACAAAGCGAGTTCCAGGACAGGTTCTAAAGTTACACAGAAAAACCACACACACACACACACACACACACACACACACACACACAAAGGTGGAAGCGAGAGGACCAGGAGTTCAAGGTCATATTTAACTACATAGCAAGTTTGAGGCCAGTCTGGGCTACCTGAGAGCCTCTCTTCCTCTCAGAATAGATAGGTAGGTAGGTGGGTAGATGGTAGACAGACACACACAGACAGACAAGATAGATCTGTGTCATGAGCATCCCAAACTCAGGTAGGCTTTGATGAGCAACGGCCCCACACTGAGGCTGGGAGGTGGGACCCGGGCCAGCCACCTCCCCGACAGAGCCACAGTGCAGCTTCAACAGGGAAGTGTCCAGTGCACACCAGACGGCATTAACGAAGCTGATGTGAGCGCAGCTGTCACAAGGGCCCAGAGCACCAAGAACATGGGAGCAGGGGATGGAGGAGGCTTGGGACAGAGGGCAGCCACTTACCAGCAGGTAGATCACACTGGCAATGACCAGGCAAACTGTCCCCAGGATAGTGGCCAGAAGGAAGCCTGCAGGCACTGACAGCCTTGAGGGTGACAGGAGGAAGGGAATAGACAACAGTTAGAGGGGCTCTTGAGCTCTTGGCCACAAGCTCTCAACTGGAGATTGCTTCCCAAGGTCCTAGAAAGAGCTCTGCCTGGGTCCAGCTTAGGTTTGCTATAAACTGTTCTCTGTAGTGATGTGTCCTTTGATTCAAGCCCCAGCTACCGGGTTGGGGAAAAGGCTTGAGCTGGGGTGTGGCCACATGGGTGTGTCCCAATCCAGGTTTAGCATAGACCATGAAGAACAACAGGTGTAACAGACCCATGGAGACCCACCCAACAGCACAACTGAATCTTGATGGTAGGTTCAGTGTGCGTCTCACAACAGACAGCAGGTGCAGGTTTAGGACCTTCTGCCGTCTCTAAAAGCTGGGCTTCTCCGGACAAACATCAATGAAGAAGGGGCTAAGCCCTAACCTCCTGTCTAGACTACAGACCCACGGGGTATCTCCTAGTCTCCTGTTACCCAGGGCATTAGCAGAGGACTCACAAGAAGTGGAGGACAGCCCGGACATAGTAATTTCTCGTCAGGGGCCCAAACAGCTTCACCACAGTAGTCAAGTACTTCTGTCCACTAGATGCAGAGGGAAGGCAGGTCAGGGGGTCAGCACCAGTCACATCCAGGACTCCCTATCCATCCCCTTCCAGGGTCCTGTCCCTGGTCACATGGGCCCAGCAGCTGGCAGGCCTTGGGCTGCAAGCTCCCAACAAGCCGGCTCCTGGTCACTCAGGTGGGAAGGACTTACCACCGCTCCATGGTAGAGCCCTTTTTCCTCTTCCCCCGGGGGTACTCCAGCAGACAGATAAGCACACCTGCAGCGCTGTCATGTGGTTAAGGAAAGCCACGCTTGGCCTAAGCCAGTGTGCACTTCTCCTGATAGGTAAATGGAGGCACAGTCACTGGCCCATACCCGCCTGCTACCTCATCTGTCCTCAGGTTCTGGCCAGAGGGTCCATTGTCCAGCCAGGTAGGGAGGAGACAGCGGACTCCAATCCAAGCCCGGGGATCATGGGCCTCAGCTATATGTTTGCCTGAACCCTCTCTATGGCCTTTGGCAAGTAGTTCCCCAGCCCTGGGCCTTGACTTCTAAAACTGCAGCAAGAGCTGGTCCTGTTTCCTGAGGCTGTGGCCAAACAGGGTGTGTGTAGAAGTGCTAGGCCTGGAAGCAGCTGTATCACCACACCTTCCTGGTCCCCAGCAGAAGGATACATAGAGTAGGCACCAAAGTACCACTGTGTGAAGCGTCCAGCAGTAGCCACGATGCCCCCTGTGATAAGGACTAAGGATGGAGGGAGGTGGTTAGGGGGTGGCACCTGCTGTAGGTGTGAGTCAACTTGAGCTTGCCCCTGGGCTAGGACCACCTCCATTCTCTGCCCATTAGAGCAGGGCACTGCCCCAGGAAGAAATGCCTGTATTGCAGGGGGCGCATGGGGCAGAGAGACACGGCCAGGGTGAGCTGAACCCGCTGGTGGCAGCCCTGCCTCAGCTCCACGGCAGCTGTCTAGTGCTGGCATCCTGTGTGCCTGCCAGCTACTGCCCCTTCTTTTCGGCTGTGCTGTTTCTTCTTGGTCCGTCTGTAAGTAGTGCATACCTGGGTTCCATCCCCAGAAAAAACAAAACAAACAAAAACTCCAGAAACCTGCACAAGGTTGTGCCACGATCCCATGGCCCCACCGTCATCTCAGCTAGCCAGCCCATTCAAGACTTTACTATAGTAGAATACACAACTGCGAAGTTTAGTTCCTCCAGGAATCACATGACTTACAGCCCCCGTCATTTCAGAAAGTCCTTGTGTCTGTGTCTTTGGCTCAGATGAAGCGATTAGCAGCTCACTCTTCTTTTGTTGTTGTTGTTTGGAGAAAGCCTGGACACACATGTTGGTCCCCATGCACTTGGGTTGCAGCACAGATCACCACACCCCTACTGCTTACTGCTTTTCTTTTTGGTTTTTCAAGACAGGGTTTCTCTGTGTAGCCCTGACTGTCCTGGAACTCACTCTGTAGAACAGGCTGACCTCCAACTCACAGGGACACACCCACCTCTCCCTCGGAGTGCTGGGTCTAAAGGTGTGCGCCACCACCATCTGGCATAATTTTTTTTATTGTTTTCTTTTTTTTTAATTGATTACTTTGCTAGTCTCTGAATCAGCTGGCATTTACTAATTCATCTTTGTTTTTGGGATATTTGGAGTCTTCTAGTCTATGGCTACAATGGATAAGGTTATGTGGCTGTGTTTTTATTTTTTTAATCAATAGTAAGAGTGAATTTAAGATATTTTGTGGCTGGGAGTTGGTGACGCCCGCCTTTAATCCCAGCACTAGGG